CTAGTTAAAATATTCTAACATAAACTTTCTTTTAAAAACATTTGAAGGGACGAGTTCTCTCAAACTGAATCACCAGAAGTTTCACCCTCGAAGTGATTTTCCTATCCCAATTGTATTTTTCCTTTGCTAGTCACTGATAGGATTAATTAAGGGGGCAACTACTGACTTTAAGGAGACTTGCTTAAATTATAAAAACAGTTATATTATTAAGACTTAATTTATTAATATAATTAATAATAAAATAGTAAAGTAGTCTTATAGTAAATTGTATTTAATAAATAATATATGTGTTATTTTTTTATTAATTAAAAATAAAATAAAGAATAAGTTGAACCCTCCAAATATAATTTTTAAAAAACTCCCGGTGACTCAGTCCTCCTCCAAAGAACTAGCTCCGTGGACCGTGGATACCTCACCCTTCTCTTATTCATAAATAACTATGTTCCTTTGCTGACCAGATTGAGAATTCACAAATTAAGACCAAGAATTTCTAATGTTCAACTAATGGCAGCCGCAGTTTGTCGTTGGACTGTTACCTCGAATAGTCTAACTTCTTCGTCCCTCTCGGCAAAATATATGTATGATTAGCACATATATGGGTAGCCAAATGATTGAAGCACCGAATTGATTAAACAACCGTCTACCTTTATATTCTTCTTGCTTGCCTTCAACATGCTGGCTCATCATCATCCTCCAATGGCCTCTGCTATAAATTATCTTGTGTTCTTCTCTCTTTTGCTTTTCTCTCCCACTTTGGCCATGGCTAACATAGCTTTGACCTCATCACTATCCGCCATTAACGACAACTCTTCATGGAATTCCCCTTCCGGGGACTTTGCTTTTGGTTTCCACCAGCTTAATAACACAGACACCTTCCTTCTTGCAATCTGGTATGCAAAAATACCAGATGAAACAATTGTTTGGCATGCAAATTTGACTAATCCAATTCAAAGAGGGTCAAGACTCGAACTCAAGACGACTGGGTTAGTTCTAAACGATCCTCAAGACCGAACAATATGGATGGCAGAAGAACCCGATGGCACCGTCTCTGATGCCGCCATGCTTGACAGTGGCAACTTTGTACTTTTAAACAGTAATTCTGTTGAGGTTTGGGAAAGCTTCAAAAATCCCACAGACACCATTTTGCCAACCCAACTATTGGAATGGGGAGGCAAACTCTATTCAAGGCTAAATGAAGCCAACTACTCAAAGGGCAGGTTTGAGCTCCAATATTTCTCAAAAGGTGATATTAAACTCTATCCCGTGGCTTGGCCTTCTGAATACCCTTATGATGAGAGCTATTATAGCATCAGCACATCTAACACCACCAACTCTTCTGAATCTGGATTAAAGCTGGTTTTTGGCGAATCGGGTGAGATTTACATCGAGAAGAGAAATGGAGGGAGAGTTCAACTTTCATGGCAGACTGTAGCTCCACCAAGGGTGAATTACTATTATCGAGCAACATTGGATTTTGATGGGGTTTTCAGGCAATATGCTTATCCCAATGATTCTGCTGGTGATCGAAGATGGTCTGTGCTTCGATATATTCCCGAAAACATTTGCTTTCAGCTGACACACACTCAACAGGGCAGCGGAGTCTGTGGGTTCAATAGCTATTGCAATCAAACCAGTGGGACTCCAAGTTGTCACTGCCCACCTGGGTATTCGCCGATCGATCCGAATAACCAATTTGGTGGCTGTAAACCCAATTTTGCTCAAGGGTGTGGAGTGGATGATCAATCAGTAGACCCTGAAGAACTGTATTATTTTCAGAAGCTTCAGGGTTTGAATTGGCCATTTGGAGATTATGATCGCTTGGAACCTTATAATCAGACTGATTGTGAACAGTCTTGCTTGCATGATTGTTTGTGTGCTGCTGCCATATTTGATGGCTTAAATTCAATATGTTGGAAGAAGAAACTGCCACTTGCTAACGGACGATTCCAGCGTGGATCACTGGTTCTCATCAAAGTAAGGAGAGATGTTTCTAGCGTCCCAGGCATGCCCAATATTCCATCATATCGTTCTGGTAACACCAAGACAGAGAAGCAAATTCTCTTAGGATCACTGGGAAGTTCCATGTTCTTCAATGTTCTTTTTCTAGTTTTGATTGCTCGAATCGTTTTATTGAGGCGCAAGAAGAAAAGACCTGCAAAAGATCCAGCAGTAATTGAGCCGAATCTGCGTTTATTTAGTTTCAAAGAACTCAAAGAAGCAACAGATGGGTTCAAGGATGAGCTAGGAAGAGGTTCTTCTGGCTGTGTTTATAAAGGCGTTTTGAAATCTGGTTCAAGAAATTTAGTTGCTGTCAAGAAGCTAAACAAGTTGTCTTCAGAAGGCGAAAGAGAATTCAAATCTGAGGTTGATGCAATTGGGAAGACCCATCACAAGAACCTTGTTCAGCTTCTTGGGTACTGTCACGAGGGGTCTCATCAGCTTCTAGTATACGAGTTCATGAGCAATGGCAGTTTATCAACCTTCCTATTTGGCTCTCCAAGGACTAATTGGACTCAAAGGTCATCCGTGGCAATTGGGATTGCAACAGGCCTAGTGTACTTACATGAAGAATGCAAATCCACAATAATCCACTGTGATATAAAGCCCCAAAACATTCTCCTAGATGAAAGTTTCACACCCCGGATTTCCGACTTTGGATTGTCCAAGACATTGATGATGGATCAGAGTAGAACTTGTACTGCAATAAGAGGAACAAAAGGGTATGTTGCTCCTGAATGGTTCAAGAATGTGCCTGTGACTGTTAAAGTGGATGTTTACAGTTTTGGGGTCGTGTTATTAGAGATTATATGTGGTAGGAGAGGTGTGGAAATGGAGTTTGGGGAAGAAGAAAGAGCAATACTAACAGATTGGGCTTATACTTGTTATATGGAAGGAAGATTAGATTGTTTGTTGGAGAATGAGGATTTGGGTTTGTGTGATATGGCCATGTTGCGAAGGTGGGTGATGACTGCAATTTGGTGTATTCAAGAAAACCCTTCGAAAAGGCCAACAATGAAGACTGTGGTACAAATGCTTGAAGGATATGTTGAAGTTCCTCTTCCTCCTTTCGCTCCTACTTCTTTCTCTTCAGCTTATTGAGTCTTGAAGACACTTTATTATTTAAGTTTCTTTTCGTTTCTTCTGTTTTGACCTTTCCCTTGTTTTTTAATGGAGAGGAAAATAAATCCTGAATAAATGTAATCATTCGCAAGTCATGAATATCCGTTAAATCCAGAGTTAAAAATTATATTTCTTTATCTATATTAAGAAAACTGTCCAATATTTATTATTTTTGGGAATTCTTTTTTCCAATCAATAATTTTTATGAGTATCCTAATAGTAAAATATAACACATTTTAAATCATTCAATCAATTCTTCTCACTTATTCTTTTAGAAGTCAGAAGGAATACTAAACATATTTTGTAATAAAAATGTATCCATGAAGTTCTAGATTATTAAATACTTAGAGTTAATAGTACAATTGTGTTTTATGGTTATAGGGTATGATTAAAATTAGTTAATTACACTGGGATCTCTCATTTGTTGTGTAAACTAATTTTAGTATTATCGGATTTTTAATATATAAAAAAGTTCTTCGTACTTTTAAAAAAATTACATACAGTTCCTTTGTGGGTACAAACATATAAGAGTTGGGAAGTTAGTACAAACGTATAAGGATATACTGAATTCAGCCGCTATTAGTAAATGTATCTTAATGTACCTGCGAACCACAATTAATGAGTACGTTAATTGATAACAAGTCATCTTTTTTTTAGTGTATTTATTTGACGACCTGTGTTTATGAAAAAGAATATACAGTATGATGACGAAATTTTTTAGAATAAGTGTTTCAATTAAGTGTTGATATAATCGTTATTTTTGTAATTTTAAAGGGCGTTAGTTATGTCAATTAGTTTGACTTTCTAACATGGATCTAATCCAAAAATAAATTAGCCAATGAATATTTTTTTTTTGAATCCTGTTGGGCTTAAATACCGGCCTCCAAACCACTCAATTAAAATTTGAGATTGTGGAGCCAATTCTTCTTCGGACAACCGAAGTTCATTGGCCCAAATCCATTAGCCCAGACCCCATATTATGGAATGAGCTGTTTGGGTTGGATCAGCCACCAAGCCCATTGGCACCTCAATTAAAAGTTGTGCGTGGGAACGTTTTATTACCCCCAAAAGGAAACTGTTGCTTGGCCCGAGCCAGTATTTTTTGCATACACTTGAGAGCCAGTGCCGGCCAACCTATAGGCCATAAGGCCACTGCCTAGGGCCCAAAATTTTTAAAAAAAAATTTGGGCCCCAAAATAAAAATATAAACAATAATATATAATTTAAATTTGGGATATAATTTAAATATTCAATGCATTTTAATTATTAAATTAGTAGTGAGTGCTAGATTTAAATCAAATTCACTATTTATTCAATGTATTTTTGGTCCTTAAGTATGATTAATATTATTGTAAAATTTTTAGAACATTTTAAAAAAAAATTAGGGTCCTAGAGGTCAACCTAATTTTTGATATCTCTTATATTATATGTATTATCACTTGACAATTTTATTATTAAAATTAATTATCGATCGTATAATAGGTATGAATAATAATTTGACATTTCTATAAGTTAAATTTGAGACTATTTTTTAATTACTTTATTTACAATACACATGATAATTATAAAATAAAGTGAGTAGAAGTAGTGCGCTATCTTGAATTAATTAATCATAGTTGTCTTACTAAATTTTTTTATTTAAAAATAGCTTTGTTTCACTACAATATCTAGCAATGTCTCATTGTATTTTAGAATCACTCAGCCTGTATAAGTTCTTATTTTTATATTCATTTAAAAAAATTATTTTATTAGTTAAACTAAGTTTTAATTATATTTCTCTTTATCTTAAACAAAGAGCATGTATCATATATTTGATCTCCATATTTAATTTCGATTAATGCAATTTTTATTAACAAAAATTGAATTTAAAATTTTAGTTAGTATGTTGTGTCTCAAAAGGCAAAACAAATTATTTTTAAATAATTTTATTTTAATATTTTAATAATTATTTAATATTATGATTATTACTGAATAAATATTAATTGAGGCTCAAATAACATTTTCGCCTACACCCTCGGGTTGGGCCGCCCCTGTTAAGCGCTAACACACAGCATTGGATACTGTTATGTATGACTCGAACTCCCTGTCTTTGGGTAAGTCTTTGTTTTGCCATTACTTTGGCATCTAGTGGGAAATAATTGATTTGTCCCGGAAGTGACGGAATTTTACAAGACTTTGACTTTGACAGTGCATTGCAGCCTTGCAGGTCCAGAGACTTTATAATTTCGGTGAAGCCTTCAATGGGTTTGAGAACAACCACGACGAGATTTCTTTTGACAAATGTGAGTTTGCTCTATTATATTTTGGGTCTTTTTCGGAAAAGCTAATATTGGTATAATAGGGTTATGACACTATTAATACTATAATGGTGATAGAGTAATGGCATGTTTTTTAACTTCTGTCATCGAGAATACTTTGTAATCTTCAATTATTTGATAGCGAAATTTTATCGTTATGTTTTATTCGTAGACATAAGTTTATTTGTTGAGCTAAATCACGTAAATTTGTCTGTTTTATTTTTTTTATTCCATTTTATTTATTTGTTTGTGATCTCAGTTCATAACAGATACGAATGGTTCGAGATAGGTTATGACAAAAAATTGTTCAAGTTAATTCCTTAATTAGATGAACTGAGCTTAAGGTCAATTGTAAAACTTGTTTAATAAACGAGTCGAATTCGAACAATAACTTGCTCAATGAGTTAGGCTCCTAAACATACACGTATAATATATTTTAGTTGTGTTTGGTACCTCATAATGTTTTTCGATGAGAATAAAATAAAATGAAATGTACATTACCATTCTAATATTTGATAACAATTAGGATTAAATGCTGGAATATAATTAAAAATTCACTCAAATATTTGGATAATTTTTAGACTCGAACCCATGACCTGAACCTAGACTTGGATCGGACCCCAAACCTAGACTCAAATTCAACCCCGACCTGCTAGACCCGAACCTCGACTCATGACTGACCCCAGACCTAAACCCTAAATCGGACCTCGATCTCGACCTCCACCTTGACCCTAGACCCGACCCCCTGGAATTGACCCCAAATCCGGACCCCCTAGACCCTCACAACCCCAACCCCAACCCCAATCCTCAAACTAAGAGCCGACCCCTAACCTAGACCTAACCTTGGAGGTAGGTGGTGGTGGAGTGATGGTGGCAACGAGTTATGATAATTAGGAATGAGAAATACCATCAATTACTCAAGAATGAAAAATCCTACACTAGTGGGATTGGGCATTCTATAGTAATGGGAATAAATGTTCATTCCTATATACCAAATATTGAAATGAGCATTTCTACGTAATGATCATTTCATTCCCATGGGTAACGAGCTAAGCATAATGTTAAACATAACCCAAAGTCAAGTTTAAGCTCTAACTAAAGCTATCGTTTGGTTCGTTTAACCAGATAAGCTGAGTTTTAAGCACGAGAAAACATCAGCAAGCGAGTTTAAACTTGATGTTTAAAACTTAAAACAATCCCAAAAGAAATATGCATGCCAACAGATGAGCAAACCCAAAACAGCCTGGTTGTTGATTCCAGCCACCACAGGCTGGGTGTGGCCCAAGCATGGATGGTTCATTTTGAATCCTTACTCTCTTTTTTCACTTAAATTTAAATTTGAGTCAAATCCTAGGTTTTGTTTATATACCTAGTTTTTTCTTTCTAAAGATTTATGGAATACTACTTATTAGGATCAAATAGAATTTCAAAAGGAAAAATGATCAATTGCACGATTACCTCTCTTTGACGGGTTCAAACTTTGCTTATTAGAAAGCTTCTATGAAAACATTTCTAAATTATTTGTGTACAAGAGGGTTGAAGCATTTAAGTTTTTACTCAAATTAAGAGAGAGTCAAACTTTTATTCAAATCACCAATAGTGGGATTTCATTCTCCTTTTAAGATTAAATGATCATATTTCACCAACCTTTATATTTAAGTTAAACTTTTTTTAAATTTGAATTTGTCAATTGACATTATTTGTATCAAATCAAGTTTTTTACTCAAATTTAAGTAAAAACTTGAGTCACAGTTAAAAATGTTGATACTCATCTTTAAACTCCATGAAAATATTGTTAAAATGTCAATTATCCATTTGGCACAACTTCTTTTTGTTTGTATCTGTTTTGATGGACCAGACCCAAATGGCCCAATCCATGGGTAAAGCTCCACCTTATAGAAAACCTAATAGGCCCTATAAGGACCAAGACCAGTCAAGACTATCAGGAAGCTACACCATCAAGAGAGCATTCAGAAGCCTCACCCTCGCAGCCTGGAGAGAGTCAACCTCCCTCATTCTTGACCAAGTCCTTTGGAGAGCACCATAACTTCTTTGTCGGTTGAGGAGAAGAGAGGTCGCCAAGATTGAGTAGAGGAGAAGTCGTCAAGATATTCAATTACTATTAAATGACCCCAATTATGACCGTCAAACTAGCAATTCAATTATTACACCAACCCACTATAAAATGTAAGCCCTCCAACACTTGGGGGGCATCTGACTCATTACAACATAATTCTCTCCTCTCATCTCAAAGCTTGTAATTTTTTGTTTTCCCTCCACACCGATGATAATAAAATTTTGGCGACCTTTGTCATTCAAAGTGGACGTAAGTCATATTGACCAAACCACTATAAACCTTATCTTCTCTTTCCATTTACTTTATTACATTTTATATTACTTAATTGACAGATGGTGTGCAAATCAAATTTGTGCATCATCATGTTTGATGGATTTTAGGTCTTCCCAACCAAAGATAAAGAGGCAATTGGTCGAATTTTTTGAGTAAATATTTAGTGTAACGGTAAGATTATATCATCTGGCATGTGGTATTACTGTCCAATAACAAAGAAATTTATAGGATAAGTTAGTCCCTTTATTCCAATATAGAGGTTATGAATAGTTATTGAAATAGTGAAATTCACTTAGTTTATATAATATTTCATAATTGATTGGTAACACAAT